CGCCTGAGAGCCGGGCTTCTGCTGCCCTCTGCTGCCCCTCTCTGGGAACTGCACCTCGGAAAGGCCAGGCTGGCAGCAGCAAGGGTGTGTCCACACCAGAGAGACTTGTGGCCAGGTGCCCAGGGGCACTTGGGGGCAATGCTATGACTCATCCGCTTCAAATAAAAAGTTACACCACACGGTCAGGTGTCGCTAAGGAGTCGCGCCATCTGTTTCTGCTGTACATGGTGGGGGCGGGGGGCACATCCGCTTTCAGACTCTCTTTCTCCAGGCTTTTGTTGGTGGACGTCCCCAAGGTCAGCTGGTGCTGGGGTCAGAAGTTCACAGTGGTGACACCCAGTGCTGGGCTTGTGTGATGAGTCTCCTCCACCTGGGCTTGAATCACAGCCCAGTGTTCCTTCCTGGAGATTACAGACATGAGACTCACTAAGACTTGCTAGGCCACTCCAACCGATTTGTCAAATAGGCATCCGCCGGTCCCTCCTCCAGCTCCTCTGCTGGGCTCTGTCCATCACCACCTCCCCCCTCCCCCCAGCTGAGGCACCCTGCAGTCCTGGCCAATACCTCGGTGCTCCTTCTCTCTATAGCTAACCAACTCCCAAGACTCTTCTCGATTCTTTGTCCTCCAAGGTTTTCCAATGGAGTGCTTTGGGGTTTTGTTTTTTCTTTTGCTTTGTACAAACCTGCCTTTGTCACTATTATCTCAGATCCTTCGCACACCTCCCCATCAACCCACATCTTTCCAGTCTCACCTCCCAGAAACACCTTTCCATCACCTCATCCCCTACCGTGGAATCCGCCTGGACTCCCTGATCTTCTGGCAATAAGCCCATGGCCGCCTGCGCAATGCCAAGGTCCCTGGGACCTGATTTGCTCAATGCACCTAAAATCCTGCAGGAGTCAGGGCTCCCTTTGTGCCTGTGAACAGAGCCCAGAGGACAAAGGGGGAGAGGGGCAGACAGATGGACTCGGGCACAAGATATTGGGGTCACCAGGAGTGTTGATCTGTGAGACTTCTCTTCTCCAGGGCTTGAGTAAATGGCGCCCTTTCGCGGCCTCCCACCGTCAGCCGCAGGTTAGAGAAATAGGGAACGCGAGCTGGGCACTGGTGGCTCACACCTGTAACTCTAGCTACTCAGGAGTCTGAGATCTGAGGATCACAGTTTGAAGTCAGTCCAGTTAGGAAAATCCGTGAGACTATTATGTCCAATTTACCATGAAAAAGCCAGAAGTGGTGAACAAATGCAGCAGTGGTACTCACGAGACACTATGTTGAAAATGAACTATTCAGCTTATGGATAGAAACAAGAGGGGAAACTAGGAGAGAACAAGGGAAAGGGTGACACTGTCCAAAAGGAAATGGACTCTTGAAGGAATGTAGCTGCAACCCTCCGCAATCATCTTTATGTTAGCAATAAAAATGCTAAAAAAAACAATTAAAAAGCCAGAGAGGGAGCTATGAAGTGGTAGAGTGCTGGCCTTGAGTGGAAAAAGCTAAGGGACAGCACCTAAGATAGAACCCTGAGTTCAAGCCTCACTGTCAGCACCAAAGAAGAAGGAAGAGGAGGGAGAAAAGAAAGAAAGAAAGAAAGAAGGAAAGAGAGGGGGGAAAGGGGGAGAGGGAGGGAGTGAAGGAGGAACGGAGGGAGGGAGAGAAAGAGGGAAGAAAAGAAAGAAAGGGAGGGAGGGAGGGAGGGAGGGAGGGAGGGAGTGACGTGCGGCCATGGCACATTTCTTCCCTTCTCTTGGCTCTCACACATGTCATTCCTGTGTCACTCCAATGTCACGTGATATACCCTTCTTTGTCCTGGAAGGGGTGTGTGTGATTTGCTGTGGTCAACAGGTGAATGGAGCTCCTAAAAGCTCCAGCAGCCCAGGGACAGCAGGAAACTGAGAACAGAATAGCGGAACGTTCCCTGGGCTCTGCTGACAGGACTGCGCATATGTGAATGTGAGTTCAGGCCCTTTCCTTTGGCATGAGGCTCCAACTGATGTCCCTGGGCCTCAACTTCTGCACAGCAGATAAGAAAAACCTACTGTTTAGAATCCTGCTTCAGCCAGTTCAGCAAATGAGCATAAGCAGCTGGTTAACCCTTGACCGTGTTATTTCGTCCATTTGTGACTCAGTCTCCTCATCCATAAAGTGGGTATAAACATGATAACTACCCAACAGGGTCATCTATCAGGAGATTTACGTGCATTAAATATATATTACGGCAGGCGAGGCCCTTGGAAGAGTGTATCTGGCAGGTAATTATGATCTGTGTTGGTCTGCAGGAATGTATGGGATACAGAGGTGGCAGGGAGGAGGGAGAGGGGTGATTTGGGGGAAAGGCTGTTCTCTGAGGGAGGACTCCTCCCCCACCCCAGTAACCCCACCTGCTGCCACAGAGGTCCAGCAGGCCTGGCCTGGCCACAGCCTACTCTTGTGCCACCAGCCTGGGTTTCCTTCTATCCAACATACTCCTGAGTTCCCCATCCTCACCATTCTGGAAGTCTTTTTGCGGGGGTGGGGGGTGTTCAAATGGGAAACAGACCCTTCCCCTCCTGCCTCTTGGGAGGTTGCTAGGGGAACTGGGCTGTCTCTCCCAGAAGTGCTGGATTCTGCTGACCAGTCAAAAGATAAACAGCGCGGGTGCAGACGTCCCTTCCGGGGGAGACCTTCTCCGAGTGCGGGCCATGTTTCTGTACGCGGCGGCTTGGTCGCTTCGGACTCATCCATGTGTCCACACAGCTGCTTAGCAACCCAGTGTAACTGGGTGACTGTGTCAACAGCCCAGACCAAAGGCCACAAGAGCCAGAACCCATTCACACTGCCAAAGCCAAGAAGGGCGACGTGCCTCTGCTGCCAGGCTCCGGCCGCTCTGCGGAGCCCTGCCTGCCGCAGCCGACCTCCGCTTTTTTGTTCTTCGGATTTCCCACGCACAGTCATTGGGGCCAGGGTCTCCATGCAACTGGCCCAGCCTGGCAGGCTCAAAGCGGACACTAGAGAGTTATTCCCAGCAAATGGAGACAGCAAGAGGAGAGATAGTATTTTAGGATATGGTCTTGCTACGTAGCCCAAACTGGCCTCAAACTCAGATCCTCCTGCCTCAGCCTCCCCAACGCTGGGATTATAGACATGAGCTACTCAGCTCCAAAGAGAGGCTTCTAAAGCTGTGGTCAGACATAGGATTCTTTCCAGAAGGCAACCAATGGAGTGGACATACGAAAGGACCCAAGATTCTCTTTTGTGTAGTTCTACACACACACACACACACACACACAAACTGCCCCACTTCCTGAGCTTGTCCCCTTCAAGCAGATCCTTATCACTTTTTTTTGGCAGTCTTGGGGGGCTGACCTCTGGGCCTGGGTGCTGTCCCTCAGCTCTTCAGCTCAAGGCTACCACTTGAGCCACAGCGCCACTTCCATCTTTTTCTGCTTATGTGGTGCTGAGGAATCGAACCCAGGGCCTCATGCATGCCAGACAAGCGCTCTACCACTGAGCCACCTTGCCAGCCCTCCTTGTCACTTTTTGTCTAAAGAATGTCTAAAGACTGGAACTGTTCTGGTGGGATGGTCAACTCTTGATGTTTCTTGTTCCTCCAAAACAGAATGGGCTGGGCTGGGGGAGGGGGTTGTGGTCAAGAGGAGCAAGACAGACACATGCCTCAGGGAGTTTCTCCTGTGGGCCAGTTTCACTGCTGGCTCCCACACCCAGAAATACCAATAAAATTGATGATAATAATTAAGACCATATAATCACCTGTGTTTATTTCCCCCCCAGAACCTCCTATCCGGCTCCCATCATTAACCACTCTTTCTCATGGGGGTGGGTGTTAGCTGTGGCGCTAGTGAAAACCAATAAATGCCTGTATTTTCACCTCCGTGGGCCTGGGGAGGGGCAGGGAGCATGGGTCCCCACAAGGAAGTGACAGGGGCAGCAAGCCTCCTTCCTTCTCCCCTGGGAGACGCAGCCGGCACCTGCTGACAGCTCACAAGGCCGAGCCCGCCGCACAGACAGCCCGCGGGCCCGCAAGGAGGACGCGGTGGGGCCAGTTAGCTCACCGAGTGTATTTCTGCATGGGTAACAAGGGCCCCGAGCACCAACACACAGTCCACAATGGCCATGGCGGATGCCGTGTCCCAGATCCACTGCCTTCTGGACTCCTAGAAACAGGTGGACGAATGCCCACCCCGCGGTGAGACGCGGGTGAGCCTCCTCGGTCCACCTGCCCGGGGTGTGGGGTCCTGAAAAGGTGTACTGGGGAGGAACGCATGCCGCACCCCGAAGCCCCCTGGGTGTGGTGGGGGCTCGGATCGCTGGCCCCCCCTCCCCAGCTGCCAGGCGGGGCCCGGCCTGACCCCCCCCCCCGTCCCCCCCGACTGCACCCCACCGCTGGCATGCAGAGGGGGGGAGAAACGGGAAGGGAGCCTGGAGGTGCCAGTGACCCGCCGCGAGGACGCAGCAGCTCCGATCTCCCCCGGTCCCGCTCCCGGCCTTCCTTCCGTGGCACCTTTACCGGTCACCAAGGCCCCGCCTCCGAGTCCCGCCGCGCGGCCCCTTTAAGGGGCTTTGGCCCCGCCCCGCCCCGCCCCCTCGGAGGCCGCACTGCGCCTGCGCTCCGCGGGGCCGCTCGGGGTTGGGCAGCCGCGGGTTCCGTGCAACTTTCAAGTGAGTTGCAGACCCCGCCCCCGGAGGCCGGTCCGGCGGCGCGACGCGGGACGACGGCCACGGTCCGCGGGAGCCCCGGCCGCGGCCCGTCACCCCGGCCCGCAGCCCGCAGGGAGACCCGGCGAGGCCTGGCCGCTCGGCCGGCCGCGACGCCTGGCTCTGAGCCGCCTGGGCCGGGCGGGGAGCCCGCCGCTGCCGCGCCCCGGGCGGCCTCCTCCTCGCCGGGCCGCCTCCCCGCGCCCGCGGTCCGGGCTCTGCCTGCCCCCGCGGCGTGCGGGCTCCGAGGCCGGAGGACCGCGGCGCTCCGCTGGCCGCTAGCCTCGGCGCGAACCCCGCGGCCGGCCCTCCGTGGCCCGCCCCGCGCCCCCGCGCCCGGCAGCATGGTGTCGTGGATGATCTGTCGCCTGGTGGTGTGAGTATGGCCGCTCGCAAACCCCCCCGGCCCCGGGCACCATAATGCGCCGGGGGCGGGAGTTGGGGAACGCAACTGTCCGAGCCTCTCCCCATCCCCCCGCGCCGCAAGGGTTAACGGCCGGGGGGGGGGGAGGGGAGGGGGCGCCGCGTGCTTGTCCCCCCCGCCCCCCCCCCCCCCGCCGCCCAGCCCCTGGCCGATGACGACTCCCACTTACACACGCGCGTGCACACGCGCGCTCTGCAGACGGCCTGCAGCCCACTGCCTGGGCAAACTCGTGGGCAGAGTGTCCAGGTCCCGGGTTCCCACCTAAGCAGTCACGTGACACACACACACACACACACACACACACACACACACACACACACTCACACTCACTCAGGCCTCCTCCTCACCTTGGAGTACACCAGCACCTGGCTGACACATCCCTGCCTTGCAGTCTGGCAGCGTCTGGCCTGGGGGCCCTGGGCCTCCTTGTGAGGGGACAGCGCGGGGTCCCTCCGTGGTGTTCCCATGGGCCACCTGGGCAGGCCTAGGCAGGCCTGGGATGTTTGTAAACAGCAGGGTGGGGAGGTGGCCTTCAGGGCACTGACTCAGGCACCTCGGGTTGTGCAAGCCAAGCGGGGAAAACAAGGCAGGTACTGCCACCTTGTACCCTCAGTGGGGAGGAAGGCAGCCACCTGGTAGTGGGGTGGGGAGGAGGGGGCAGGCTGGGCTCTGTGCCCCTCACAGTCCTTCCCATTGGCTTAACTCTTCCAGGCTGCTGTTTGGGATGCTGTATCCTGCTTACGCTTCCTACAAGGCTGTGAAAACCAAGAACATTCGGGAATATGTGAGTGTGGGTAGTGGGCAGGAGACTTTCCTGAGTCAGGGTTCCATGACAGCCTAGGGAGGGTACTAGGGCTTGGCGAGACGGGGAAGGACCTGAGCTGAGCTTCCCTCCTCCCGGGGCTTGGTGGTGTTGCAAATCCTCAGTGGCTGGTGACAGAGAACAGGTTCTGTTTATGGGGGGTGGGGGTAGGGAGGAGGGCAGGCCATGGGCACACCTGTGGAGACTCCTGTGGGTGAAGTACCCAGGAATAAGCTGCAGTTTCTCAGAACCTCCTGTCTGGCCAGGCCTAGGGCAGGAAGCAATGTAGTGAGACAGGCTTTCTGGAATCTGCGGGTTGGGCAATGGGGTGGGTGTTGGGACTCTGGAGCTGACCTCGGTGCTCTCTGCCCCACAGGTTCGGTGGATGATGTACTGGATCGTCTTTGCGATCTTCATGGCGGCGGAGACCTTCACAGACATCTTTATCTCCTGGTGTGGGCCGGGGGTGTCTGTGAACTGTGGGGCGGGGGGGGGGGGGGGGGGGGGGGGGGTGCTGTGCTCTTGGCCCTTCTCGCTCACCTTCGCCTGCCCGCTGCTCCCACAGGTTCCCTTTCTATTATGAGATCAAGATGGCCTTTGTGCTGTGGCTTCTCTCACCCTATACCAAGGGGGCCAGCCTGCTCTACCGGAAGTTTGTCCACCCATCCCTATCCCGCCATGAGAAGGTAGCCCGGGAGGGAGGGGGTCAGGGAGGAGTGGAGGTGGGTGTGAGGCAAGCCCTCACTGTGGGATCAGGGTGCCAGGGACACCTGAGCTCTCGTGGCAGGCCTACTGCTATGTAGCCGTGGGGTCCTGACAGGACTTTGCCATCCTGGCCAGCAGGGGTGACATGGGTGCATGGGAATCACTTTTAGATGTATGTCATGCCAACTGGAAGCTGGTTTGGGGATGGGGAAGTGGAACATGGCTGCCCATTGAAAAGTCCTGCTTCTGGTGTGTCTTCTGGGCCCATATCTGGCTTCAGGCACTAGGTGTGGGGTAGGGCAAGAGGTGTGACAGCCTGTGGTTTCTCGGGCTGTGAAGGAGGGGTTTCAAGCTGCGTCAGCCTGAGCTCTCTGCCCTTATGTTTGCAGGAAATTGACATGTACATCGTGCAGGCCAAGGAGCGCAGCTACGAGACGATGCTCAGTTTTGGGAAGCGGGGCCTCAACATTGCTGCCTCTGCTGCCGTGCAGGCTGCCACTAAGGTGCTCCGGTCCCCAGTCCTCTGAAGCCCCTGCTCTCCGCTCAATACCTTTGGGGACCAGTCTAGCTCTGTTAGTGGTTAGGGTTGGGGGGCTGGGAGGAAGGCTGCCAGGTTGCGTTCAGTTGAGTCCTGTGTCCCAGTGATTGCTTGTAGGCTGGCCCTGGCCTTCTATGCAGTGTCTCCTCTCCTTTGCAGAGTCAAGGTGCCCTGGCTGGCAGGCTGCGGAGCTTCTCCATGCAAGACCTGCGCTCCATCCCTGACACCTCTGCTCCTGCCTACCAGGACCCCCTCTATCTGGAAGACCAGTTGCCCCACAGGAGGCCGCCCATTGGTGAGTGGCGGAGGAAGCCCATCCTGAGAGGGCTGGAGGAAGGCCTGGCTGGGCCTTGTGCAGATGACCAACCTTACCTCCCCTGGCTGCCCTCACAGGGTACCAGGCAGGGGGCCTGCAGGACAGTGACACAGAGGACGGGTGCTGGTCAGACACTGAGGCAGTCCCCCAGCCACCCATCCGGCTCCGAGAGAAACCCCTGAACCGCAGCCAGAGCCTGCGTGTGGTCAAGAGGAAGCCACCAGTACGAGAGGTCAGCGGGAGGTGGGCTGTGCCCATTGCGTCCGCGCACACCATTCATCACTTACAGTATACCTGCTCTCTCCCCCCCAGGGCACCTCACGCTCCCTGAAGGCTCGGAGTCGGAAAAAGACCATACTCTCAGACATGGACAGCTAGGTTCTGCAGAGTAGGCTCTCTTACCTTGTGCCTGCAGGGTGCCAATGACAATCATCAGGAGACCTTTGGCCTCCCTGTACCAGGTGCCTAGGCTCCACCTCCTCCCGACTCCCACTTAAGGACCAAGATAGCTGCTGCCGAGCCTGTGTAGAGATGCACCCACAGTGCATCAAAACAGGCCAGGCCCAGTGTCCTATCTGTTGCCTTCCTCAGCCCTCTGCCTTCCCAGATGTGGGTCCAGAGGCCCTGAATACCTACACATGAAACCAAAAGTCTGCCCAGCTGTGATCATTCCCTCCTGCCCTTCAAAGTACTTGACAGCCTTTTCTAAGGCCTGGTGTGCGTGTCTGGGTGTGTGTTTTGTGTTAATGAGTGAGGTCAGGCTTGTGAACATTTTGATAAATAAATCCCTAAAGGTGTTCGCTTCTGCTTTCTCTCATTGCTCACTCCATCACACACCGGAAGCAAACGGCACACTGTAGGCCAGGGTTGGCTGAGGCTCAGGTGGAAGGGCAGACTGCTTGAGGATTACTTGGAGGAGACGCCCATCCATTGAGCTAAAGATGAAGGTAGAGGGTCTCAGAGTCAAAAGACAGCAGGATGCCTGGGCACTGGTGGCTCACGCCTGTCATCCCAGCTACTCAGGAGGCTGAGATCTGAGGATTATGGTTCAAAGTCAGCCCAGGCAGAAAAGTCTGTGAGACTCTTGTCTCCAATTAACCACCAGAAAACTGAAAGTGGAGCTGTGGCTCAAAGTGGTAGAGCACTGGCCTTAAGCAAAAGAGCTCAGGGACAATGCCCAGGCCCTAAGTTCAAGCCCACAACCACCACCACCAAGACAGCAGGAGCCAGGCTAGGACCTGTCAGGAAGGGGTAACTGTAGACAGCCAGTGAGAGAAAAGGTGTGGAAGGGCTTGAGCCAGGCTGCATGTTGAAGACATGAAAACAGCACAAAGTAGACCTGAGGAGAGGAAGGGGATAAGGTAGCTGGTCACACTGGCTTCTGTAAACACTCTGGTCCCATCAGGGTGAGCTTGTATTCTGAGGATTGGCCACAAGAGGGCAGCAGGTGCCAGGAGCTGGGCTGCCCCCAGCTTCCAGGTCAAGGTGGGTGGAGCTGGGAGTCAGGCCAGAGCCTCGCCCTGCTGGGGCTTGGCTACTGGCTGCAAGGCTGGAGGGATGATGCAGGACTCTGGAAAGGCCTCTGGTGGCTCTCCCTGCTGCTTGTGGTCTCTGATCCGTGGCCTGCCCTATCCACAGGCTCTTTGCCTGAGCTGGCTCCATTCCTTCCCCTCTTCTGCTCCCTGGGTAGCTGGTGACACACTGTGCCCCAGGCTGCTCCCCTTTCCTACCCGAGTCTGCTCTTCCTTCCTGCTTGAAAGTCAAGAGGTGAATGTGCTAGCTGAGAAGGGAAATGGGCGGCTGACTTGAGTGGCCTGGGAGAGAGAAAGAGCAAGGATTAACTCTTGATGTGGGGATTATCCGGGGTTTATTTGGGGGAAGGCACTTAATCTGCTGGGGTGATTATGTCCTCACATTAGTGCTCAGTGGCTTCCTATATGGCATTGCCTTGTATCATGGTGCCCTCTGTCCTTATTAGTCCATTCAAAAACATCTGCAGGAACCAGATGTGCAAAGACTAGTAGTGGCTGGCACCTAGGCTGTGGCTGCCACCCAGTACCATATCTGAGCCCCTGGCATATAGGAGTTTCATCTTCCCAATCATCTCAGGAGCCAGAACTATTATTTCAATCTTGGTTTCACAGAAAAACAGGCACAGAGAAGGCACAGGATTTGTCCAAGGTTACATAGCCCATAGGTAGCAGAATTGGGCTTTAGACCAGGCAGTCTGGCTCCAGGGTCGGTGTGTACTTAATCACTATGCTCTACACAACTAAATGAGCTGTTTCTTGCCTGGGTGACAAGGAGGAGAGTGACAGGTTTGAAGCATTTGCATAGAGTCTGACCTTGACTCCTCCCAAATGTCCATCCAGTCAGGTAGGAGCTCTGCCCACTTTCCAGATGAAGAGCAGAGGCTTAGAGAGCTGTAGTTCCCCCCACTCCTCCCCAGTGCTGCCTGCCAGCTGGGGACTGCCTCCTGCATCAGTCTGCCCGAGAGTTGCCTTCTTAGATGCAGAAGAGACGTAAAGGAGCAAAATGGAAGAATGCATGATGAAAGGAAATCCAAGTTGGAGAGTAGGGAGAGCTGGGCGGGGGCTGCAGATGCCGGATGTGGAGGATCTCTCAGACCGGGGATGGGATGCTAACACTGGGTTCTCCATGGCCCCAGCCTCTGTGCAGCCGCGAATCATGCGCCCTGTCCCCTGCCATGCTCTTCCCTCCTCTCCCCACTTGCCCGCTTCCTGTTTGTGCTTTGAACCCCGCTCGGACATCGTGTCCAGGAAAGCCTGCTGCAGCCATACCCCTGGCCTGGCCCAGTTGCTGCTCTGTAGTTCTTGCCAGCTCTCTTCTTGTGTGTTTGTTTTTACTAGTATATGTTAGTCGTAGAAGGGGAGTTTCAAGCTAGGTGCCAATGGCATACACCTGTAATCCTAGCTAGATCTGAGGATCATGGTTTGAGGCCAGCCTGGGCAGGAAAGGCTGTGAAACACTTAGCTCCAATTAACCACCAAAAAGCTGGAAGTGGAGCTGTGGCTTAAGTGGTAGAGCACTAAAAAGCTCAGGTCAGCAACTAGACTGAGTTCAAGCCGCAGTACTGGCACACACACACACACACACACACACACACACACACAAAGGGGGTTTCATTATGATTTTTCCACACATGCATACAATGTATCAGCAACTTCATCCCCTCTATCACTCTTCCTTCTGGTTGTTGTTGTTGTTTGTGTTAGCAGAGTCTCTCTATATAGCCCAGGCTACTCTCAAGGGTACATGTAGACCAGATTGGCCTTGAACTTTTGCTCTTCCTTCCTCAGCCTTCTGGAACGCTGGGATTACAGGACTATCCCACCATACCTGGCTTAGCAGATGCTGCATCTCTGTCCTTACAGGGACTTCTGTTTTCACCATCCGCACTTACCTTACTGTTGTAACCCAGCTCCCAACAAGTCATTTAACCAAACTGCCATCTTTTTCTAAGTGTGTGATTCAGTGATGAAGTTTGTCATCTGATGTCTGAGTTCAAGTGTCACCTCAGCGAAGCCCCCAGATTTCCCAGGGTAGGACTATTAGAGTTGAGTAATCATTTGTAAACACCTCCATGTTCCTCAGCACAGAGCCTGACACCTATAAGGCCCGAAGGAGGATTTGTGCTAAAACGAATGCATGGTGTGACCGAAGCTCCTCCAGGGCAGGGATGGCTTTGAGCTTTGGGTCCTGCATCTCCACAGCCTTACCACAGAGCCTTCGCACTGTCCGTGTCTTTGTGGTGAAGCATCAATGAATGGCTGACTTCAGTCATCCAAGTGCCAAGCGGTAGGAGTGAGGGGAAGTCCAAGGGCATTTCCGGCCAAGCTTCTCCCTGATCCTGTTGCTTGAGGCACCGGGTGTCAGGTGAACTTCCCTCAGAACTGCCCCATCTTTATGACAACTGCCCTGGTGCAACCTCTTCCTGGCACTGCCACACTCTGCACAGGGTCCGGGGCCCATCCTTTAGCCTATCTGGCTGGTTCTCCCATCTACCTTCTTGGGATCGTTGCTGGGAGAGGAGCTGCAGTCACCACTGCCAGCCCCTAGAAGCACATACCTGCCTTGGGGCCTGCCACGGCCACACTTGTACCTTTTAGCCTCCCCTCAGCCCCTCCGGGGGTCCCTCTATTCTCCCAGTTCCAGGAGCAGCTGGCCCTCCTTCCATCCTGCCTCCCGCCATCCCCAGGCTCTTCCAGGTGACTTCTCTAGCTCCTTGCCTTTTTGGTCCCTCTGGTCTTCAGGTCCTGGTTTCTTAACTGCCCCCCTCAATCCTCTCCCCCCACCCCATGTCACACACACACACACACACACACACACACACACAGCCCATGGCTGATTTCTAGTTGAAGCCTCTAGATCTCTAGATCCAATATAGCCCTGGCCCAGGCTGAGTGTGTGGTCTTGAAGGGCACTGTCCCTCCTGGAAAGGATTAATGCTCAGGCTCTTGTGCCCATCCCCCACCAGCATCAGGGACTGAGGGGGGCTGGGGAGGTCCAACAGAAGGAGACTAAAGCCCAGGTCAGGAAGCCGGTCCCTACTGCTGGGGGCGGAGGGGGGGGGGGGGAGACCTGGGGCAAGAGCCGGGGCTGCTGGGCATGAAGGTCCTGAGCTGGCTAGTGGGGGTGAGTGCAGGGAGGGGGGCGGGGGGAAGAAGAGGGCCTCAGAAGAGGAATTAGGTCAAGGATGTGGGTGGGTGGGTGAGAGGAAAGGGGAGCATCTGCCACCAAGCTTCCTCCTGGCTCCAGAAGCATCTCCACACTTCCCTTCCCCGTGCCTTCCCCCTAGGTCCTGGGAGAATTTGCCCGGTATTCCCCATGCCCCCCGGCCCCCGCCCCCGGCATCCTCACGGGGGTGGGGGTGGGGTGGGGGAGGCCAGCCTCTGCTGTCTGAAGGATGGAGGGGCTGGGGAAGCAGGGCTAGGTGCCCAGACGGCCGCGTGTGTGGGAGGGGATGTCCTCAGATGCCCTCCACCCGGCAGTCCCCGCTCTGACGTGGGTGCCCCCCCTCTCCCCGCCCGGATTAGTGGCAGCTTGGCCTGACTCTCCGGGGCTCCTTCCCCCGCCCTGCCTGCTGCCCACCCCGGGGCAGGGGGCTGCTCTGCCTGAGGGGCACTGTGCTTGCCCAGGTAAGGGGCTCGGGGCAGAGAGAGGGCAGCTGCCTGTGAGCGAAGCTGTGGCTGTTGAGCAGGAGTGTGTGTGTGTGTGTGTCAGCATGTGTGCGTATTCATGTGCAAGGGGTTGGTGCGGGCTGGGGCCAGGCCGGTGTGTGTCTGAGGCGCAGGTCAGCTTGCCGTGGTCCCTGGGTGGCATTGTGGACATGTCCTGGGTGCCTTGCCTTCTGTTTGTGTCTTGTGTGTGTCTCCTCAGCTTTGCTCCATCCTCAGGACAGGCAGTCGGCTACCAGGACTCTGGCCTGCGGCATGGGCTCCGAGGCAGGATGGGGGACTGGGTGGGGATGGAAAAGGGGTGCTTCCCCTGCCCTTGCTCCCACCAGCCCCTGGGCACTTCAGGAGTCTGTCCTGAGAGCTCTGGTCTAGCCCAGAGGCTGTGATCTGACAGGCAGACATGACAACTGGGAGAGGTGGGGGGGGGGATCTGTTCTACTTCCCTGGGTCAGTCCCCTTTGCTTTTGCTGAGGTTGTGACAGGCCCCCTGGGACTCTGGACAGCCCAGCCCCCATCTTGCCTCTTCTAGGCCTCAAGCCACAGGAGTCTCCCCCCAATTTAACTCTCCCACAAGTCCCGGCTGCTGAAGCAGGCCAAGGGACACAGATGGGGACCACCGGCATGTCACAGCCCCCAACTCTCCTTGGAGCCAGTCTGGGAGCAGGAGACCAGACAGGGCCTTGGGACTCCAACCCCTACAGACCCTCCACAATCATCTCCCCTGGCCTTCTCCCCTAGGGAAGGAAGGGAGTGTGAATAAGTCAGCCATGTAAACAACCCCTACCAGCCTGCCCTGTCTAGCCTCCGGGAGAGGTAAGGGGCTGGGAAGCTATGCCTACATGACCCAAGTCCCGCCCAGAGCCAGCTAGCCTTTTTGGATCCTTCTTCCAGGACCCCTTCTCTTTTCTGGTCCAAGGCTCCATGACTTTATTCCTATCTCTTGGGGGGGAAATCTCTGGACTCTCCATGGCTCCCTGTCTCCGGGGATGATGTGACTTGAGACAGGCTGGAAGCTTCTAGAACTCATCCCTTTCACAGGTTAGGAATGGAGAGGAGGGGCCGCTTTTGTTTCAGGTTGGACATAAGGAAGCAAGGGAATTGAGGGGCCAGCGGTGGGTGCCTGAAGGGAAGGGAAGCGCCCGTTGGGCGTGTGGTTTCTGTGTGTGTCTGAATCTGTCTGTGTGTGTTTGAATCTGTCTGTTTGTGTCTGTGCTCTGCAACCACCCCCGCAGAGGAGCCGGGATGCTTCCTCGGGTGGAGGGTGCCCTGTTTGCCCATTTCCTCTCCTCTCCCAGGAGCCACTCCCATGGGCTCCTCTCCAGGTTGGGTCTGGGAGTACCGGGCCGCACTGGGGAGAGGGCAGACCCTCAGAACTGTGGGGCCGAAGCTTGGATTGAGCTCCTTAGATTCCCATCACTGCTTTGGACTCTTGGTGAAACCAATGTCCTTAGACCAGGGTGGGACCAGACCATGGCCGCTCCCAGACTCGCACAGCACTCTGGGCCGCTGACCCCTGGGGCCTGGGGGGTGGGGGTGGAGGGGATCTGAGGTGCTCAACGATGCTTGGCCAGGTGAGCCTGAGGATGCGGATGAGCCAGGGCAGACACTGGGCAGTGAGGTGTGTCCATATGCCAGAGCTGGAGAGGACCAGGAGAGAGTGGTCCAGCAGGCACAGGCCCGGCTGGCGTGGGTCACAGCGCCCATCACTGACCCGTGAGAACCCGACTGCCCCTGCCAGCTCTGGCACTACCACCCCCCTCCCAGCCGCCCCGCCCGAGCACCCCGGGGGGCACCCCGCCCCACCTTGGCCCGGTCCGGCCCCTCCCGCCCTTTGCTCCAATTCCCGGGCTTGGCACCTATAGTGGGGGTGCTGCCCGCCTGCCAGGCTCCGGGCCGGGCCCACGGGAGGGTGGGGCGGCTGGGAAGCTGGCACGCTGCCCCGGGGGAGCCTCTCTCGGCAGGCGCCCGGGTGCCGCGGGGGGGGAGGGGGGAACAAAGGGCTCATTCTCCCCGTGCGCAGCCGGTGGCATCGCCGGGGCGTTGGCGGAAGCCCCCGGGGCTCAGGAGGGGGCAGGCCCAGGCGGGGCCGCCGAATCACGGGCTCCTGTTTCCCGCAGGGTGCTGGAGGAGGAAACCGGCGGAGCAGCTTCCCTACTCTCAGTTGCGCGTCTGGCGATGGCGATCGGAGGTCCTGCTGCGCTCTCCGCCGCGCTCTCCCTCCATTAGCCGCGCTGCGCGGTGCTGCGCCTTCGCCCGTGCCTCTCTCCCGGGTCACCGGATCGGCCCCGCTGCCAGGCACGACCCCCTCCCCCCGGCCTCTCGGCCTTTCCCCCCCCCTCACTCGGCCATCTCCGATCCGGGGCGCGCGTTCCCCCCGGCCCGGCTTCCTCTCTCCCTCCGGGGACACCGGCTCCTTAGCCCCGGCCCGGCCCTCCCCAAGGCGCAGCACGGAGTCTCCGCGTCCCATGGCGCAACCCACAGCCTCGGCCCAGAAGCTGGTGCGGCCCATCCGCGCCGTGTGCCGCATCCTGCAGATCCCGGAATCCGACCCCTCCAACCTGCGGCCCTAGAGCGCCCCCGACGCCCGGGGGGAAAGACAGCGCGAGCGCGCTGAGCAGAGCGCGAGAGAACGCGTCCTCGCCCGCCGGCCGAGAGGCCCCGGAGCCGGCCCATGGGGAGCAGGCAGCCGGCGCCGGCCAGCACGACCGCTGCCGCCCGCGCCGCGCCCGGCCCGTGAAGCCCAGGTGAGTGCCGAGAGCCGGGGGCGCCTTGTGGGGGCCCTGGGAGCGGGGCTGGGGCTGGGGGAGCTCTGCGCCGGCCCCCCACACCCTCGGGCGCGCGCAGGGAGTGAGCTCCCCCAGCCCCTCCGGGCTGGATCACACGCCTTCGACGTGGACAAGTGAAGATGCGCGTCTAGGGCTGGATGGCCCGTGTGTGGGCATCGTCTGCCCGCGCGCCCGCCCGCACCCCTCTCCCGGGGCTGTCGCTCGGGTGCCACCTGTCATCCTGGTCCCTCACACGCACTGCACGTTCAATTTTCCCTCTCTTGCCTCTCTCTGGGGCCCGGCCTGCTTTCTCCGCCTCCTTTCCGCCGTCAACCGGCTTCCGTGAGCCTGGCGCCCTGGCGCTGCCGGCTGGGCTAGGGGAGCTCAATCCACCCCGGCTGATGTCTCTGAATCCCCGCTCTCGCGCCGGTTTATGCCCCTCCTTGGGGGTCTGCAGAGATCCTCGTTCCCACCCCTTGTGCTGGGACTCTGCTTAGAAGCCAAGAAACTGGAACCTGGAAAAAAGGCAGAGAGAGTCAGGGCTGCCCAGGTGTAGAGAGAAGGTTAGCCCACAGCCCTGCGGCCAGCTGCCCACTCTGGTCACTCCAGCCCACCCGACTGAAAGCCTGTCTGGGACTGGCAGTGGGCAAGCAACACCCCCTCAAACATTGACCATGGTTTGCAGAGTCCACTGAGACCCAAGCTCGGGTTACACAAGGGTACACTGAAGCATCTACAGTAACATGACTTTGCCCAAGACCACGGCAGGTGACTGAGTCAGGGCCAAGATCTGGTTCTGTGTCTTCCACTGAGCTGACCTTTTAGGTTCTTGTGTTCTGTCCTCCTCCATAGTTTGTGGCCAGGTTTCTGGCTCAATTTGGCCTGAATGTGTCACCCTGGAGATAATATCCACCTCTAAAACTTAAAGGCAAGTGGGAGCCAGAACTTGGGGAGCATCCCGTCCAGGCAAGATTCTGCTGTCTGCATGTGCACCACTGTGGCCTACCACCTGCTTTACTGGTTTGAGCCACTTCACTGTTGCCAGGGCGGTGCCCACTGTGCCGACGGTGAAGTGCTTGGGGCATGTGCCCAAGGAGCTCATGTTTTGGTTGTTATGCTCCAGGGACCCCTGCGGGAGACCCTCATGAGGGCAGGAGAGTGATGGAGAGTATGCCCAGCTTCCTGAAGGACACCCCGGCCTGGGAGAAGACAGCCACTGAGAACGGCATCGTGGGACAGGAGCCGGGGACCCCACTGCAGAATGGGCTGCACCATGGTGCACTGTGCCTGGGAGAGCCCACTCCCTTCTGGAGGGGCGTCCTAAGCAACTCAGACTCCTGGCTCCCCCCTGGTTTTCCCCAAGGCCCCAAGGACACGCTCTCACTGGTGGAGGGCGAGGGCCCCAGAAATGGAGAGAGGAAGGTCAACTGGCTGGGCAACAAGGAAGGACTGCGTTGGAAGGAGGCGATGCTGGCCCATCCACTGGCTTTCTGTGGGCCAGCGTGCCCACCTCGCTATGGCCCCCTGATTCCTGAGCATGGTAGTGGCCATCCCAAGGGTGACCCTGTGGCCTTCCGGCCTGTGCACTGCCCTTTCCTGCTGGAGAGCAAGATCCTGGAGCGAGCCCCATTCTGGGTGCCCACCTACTTGCCACCCTATCTGGTGTCTGGCCTGCCCCCAGAACGTCCTTGTGACTGGCCCTTGGCCCCGCACCCCTGGGTGTACACTGGAGGCCAGCCCAAAGTGCCCCCTGCCTTCAGCTTAGGCAGCAAGGTGAGTACAGGCAGCTCATTTGTCCCTGGAGAGCCCTACCTGAATAGTACTACTCTGCCCTTTTCTGATGCAAACACAAGTCCACCCCCAGCTAGAGAAGCCTGGCAGCTCAAAGCCATCAAAGGCGACTGGCCAGATTGAGAATTTATTTATTTGTTTATTTATTTATTGTGGGTGTGGGTGTGGGTGTGTTGAATTCAGGGTCTGAGCACTGTCTCGTAGCTTTTCACTTATTGTTGGCACTCTATCACTTGAGTCACAACTCCACTTCTGGCTTTTTAGTGCTTAAGTGGGATAAGAATCTTGCATTTATTTGTCTGCCCATACTGGCTTTGAACCAGGATCCTCAGATCACACAGCCTTTTAGGAGCTGCCATGAGAGGTCTGAGTCACCAGCACCAAACCAAATTGAAATTTTAAAATATTTGAAATTCAGTGCAAAGTTAGGTGTGGTGGTTCACATCTGTTATCCCAGAAAGGCCTAGACAAGAGGAATGTGAGTTCAAATCCAGCCTGGTTTACATAATGAGACCCTGTTTAAACAAAAACAAAAACAAGACTAGTATGGCCTGGGGCACCAAGTAATCCAAATAGGTCCTGAATAGCTTTTGGCTGGGCCGAGCAGTAACCCCTGAGCTGCTGGGTCATGGTGAAGTAGAATAAATCCTAGTAGAGGATGTGAGGAAACCCAGAACAGTGAGTGGCATACAGGAAGGGATCTTTGGTGCTTCCTATAGCTGTATTTTCTTTATGACAGTTGTTGGAATCTGCTGTGCCTGTTCTTTTAGGCCCTGGGAACTAAAGCTGTCCTGTCTTACCTCTTTCTCCTCCCACAGAGCCTCTACTACAAGGATCCTAGCACTCTCAGGCTGGCAAAGGAGCCCTTGGCAGCGTCAGAGCCTGGGTTGCTGGGCTTGGCCCCTGGTGGGCACCTCCAGAGAGCCTGGGAGGCAGATGGCTCTTCGCTCCACCGGAGGGATGGGGAGACGGGAGCTGGCAGGCAACAGAATCGGTGTCCACTTTTCTTGGGGCACGCAGATGCTGTTCCCCAGCCCCCCTGGCCTGCCTGTCCTCCAGGCCTAATTCCTTCTCTCGGCAACGTCTGGGCTGTGCCTGGTAGTGGCAGCCTTGGGTGCCAGTTGGGACCACCAGCCACACCTAGGTGCCCCTCTCCTGGGCCTCCGACCCCCCAGGGGGGTTGTTGCTCCTCCCATCCCACCACCAGAGAGGGAGATGTTGGTCCTTGTGGGAAGTGCCAGGAAGGCCTGGAGGGGGGTGCCAGCAGGCCCAGTGAACCCAATGGGGAGGTGAACAAGGCCTCTGGGCCCGGGGTCTGTCCCCCAAGTTACCACACCAAGCTGAAGAAGACATGGCTCACACGACACTCGGAGCAGTTTGGGTGCCCAGAAGGCTGCCTAGGAAATGAGGAGAGCTCAACTGTTGGGCTCAGGGCCCGGAAGAGGGCTGGCAGTCCCGACATCCAGGGGGCATTGGGTGCCCCAGCCCCCAAGCGGCAACCTCACCCTTTCTCAAGCACTGCAGGGAAGGGGACCAAGGCTTGGCAAGAGATGATGGACACATCCACAGGAAGCGGGGCGGAGACAGAGGAGCAGAAGGAGCTGAGAGGTAAGGGGCCTGCAGGGGGAGGGCTCACAGAGGCCATGCCAGCGGAGGGCAGCAGGGCAGCCACCTTGCAGGAGTGAGTCACACCCAGTTGTTGGGTTTCCTACCTGAATCAAGATGGCTTTCTGGGGTTCCTCGGTGTGTCTCCTGCCAAGCCATGATGTGTTGGTGTCAGGGCAAGGACATGGATCAGATCATGGCTCTGGAGTCTGAATGTCTGCTTCCTGACTTGGCTGATCAATTGCTGACTTAGTGACTTCGGCTCTCTGGGCCTCAGTTTCTTCATCTTGGAAATGAGGAGAAGGAGGGTACTTATATCCAAGACTACCGCAAGGATTCAATGCTGTCATAACTCATCAAAGGCGCGGAAGAATTTGTGGTACTCAAGAAACTGCTACCATTACTTGTGCCACAAATCCTGCTTTTACCTGTCCCGAAAGACCTCTATGGTGCCTCCTTTGGCCATCTGGATTTGTGGACTGGACCTTACTCATGTTAGAGCCTTGGGCACACACTCCTCTACCAAGCTGTGTCCTTCACAAAGGGTTCTGGCCCGGCTGGCGCCAATCTTGGTTCTTCTGGATCCCTTCATTCTCAGCCTCCTGGATTCCCCAGCCTGGATCAAGACTGTCCATATGTGCCCTTGTGCCTGGCAACAACCATTTTGTGCCTGGCATTGGCCAGTTTGTGCCCTCACAATCCTCCCCGACTGGGAGGCTGTCGGCCCCTTTGTCATCTTGTGTTTCTGCACCTGTGCTCGGTGTTGAAACTCTCCGGCCTCCTCACCTTCTTGCACCCTGCCCTCCATCCATCTCTCTGATCACTGAGCCTCGGTGGAGTTAGCCAAAGTCTACACTGGCTGGATTCTGCACTTGTGTGAGGACCGTCAACCCAGTTGCCCAAAGCCTTGGACTGGGCGTGTTAGATCACCTCTTCTCAGCTCCCATGCCCTCCAGGATAGTCTCAGCCCGCTGCTCAACCTTGGGTGGGAACCTTCTAGCTACCTGGGCCACTCTCTTGGGTTCTGAATTAGGCTCTACAGGTCTGGGGCCAAGAGCCGGCTGGCTGTATGTGGATATGCTGGGACTGGGGTTAACGCAGGCCCTGAACCCCAACCTCCTGAGCAGCTGCCTTGTCTCCTCAGGACCCCGGGGTGGCAGGGCCAGCCTTCAGGACCCATCTTGCCTGGCTGTCTCCGCAGACATCACTCCATGCCAAAGCTGTACCCCGGCAGCTGGAGAGGTGGGAGGCTTGTCTGGCACCTCAGGACGGGAGCAGACTTGGAGGTGAGCAGTCTCTTCAGGTTCCCCTGGCCCATGTTCCCCAAGGGGCTTTCTCCTCAGTGCCTCTGTTCTGCCTCCAGATTGCCTCTGGGAGGGGAACAACTGCAAGAGGAAGACTCCCCAGCCAGCTCTGAGGAGGGAGGAGGGTCTGGCCCCGAGGCCCAGCTCAGCCAGGGCCTTGCCAAGCACCTGCTGAATGGTTTGGGGGACCGACTATGCCGCCTGCTGCGGAGGGAGCGCGAGGCCCTGGCCTGGGCACAGCGGGAAGGTGAGCAGACGACCGACCTTGTGGGCCTGCCTGAGGCCCGGCTGTCCCTCCCTGCACCCTACCAGGGCTGTGGTTCCCAGGCTACCCCACCTCCCTGTGAGCTGCTCCGCCCTCCTCTGTCCCTGTTCCTGACTCTGCTGGGGCAGGCTCTTAGTCAACGCTGAGGTTTCTGGCCTCTGGGTGGGGGTTGCTGGGAAATGGAAAACTTGGACTGGCCCAATTGTCTGAGAGCTTTATGACTTGCGGGGAAAACAGGGATGAGTACATGTTTGCAAGAGCCCTGGAGGTCGGGACGCTCCAGAAAGGTTGAGGCGGGAGAAGGCTCCGGGGGCCAGTGAGGCTCATGGGACTTAGGAGGTGAGTGGAGTTTGCCTTGAGGTTAGAGAAGGGACAACATTCTACTGGCTCTAGGGTCCCCCTCTGTAGCCCTTCCTAGCAGCAGTGAGGCCTTTGTCACTAACTCCCTGAGTAGAGGTCACTCATGGCTCCCTGTCCTCACAAGGCCAGACCCCTTAGGATTTCTCCAGTCTCCAGCCAGCTCCTGCTGTTCCTAGCCTGCCTTCCCAGCAAACACACACACACACACACACACACACCACCCATCCTACCCTTCCCGGATCACCCGTGCTTGTCTGTCCCTGGGGCCCTGGCACTGGCTGTTCCCGGGATCTGGAATGCCCTGCTCCTCCCTTCCGACCTGGTGGATGAGAACTTACTCATCCTTTGAGGCAACGCGTGAAGCTCCCCCACCACGCCCACCCTCCTCCTTCCACACTCAGCCACTAGAGTCATCGCTATATCTGTGGATGAGGAGGGCAGGGCCCAGGTCTGAGCAGCTCTGAGTCCTCCACACTTGACCCGGGACATGACCAGGTATTTGTTGAGAGTGCTCAGTCATTCCTTTTTGCCGTACCAAGCACAACTTTGTCTGCACCTGGGCTCTTAAAGAAATTCTACTCCAGGCTTGGCACCATTGGCTCACGCCTGTAAGCCTAGCTACTCAGGACACTGAGGTGTGAGGATCTTGGTTTGAAGCCAGCCCAGGCAGACAAATCCATGAGACTCTCATCTCCAGTGAACTAGCAAATAGCAGAAAGTAGCTCAAATGGTAGAGTGGGCAAAAGCTAAGGGAGAGCGCCTTGATCCTGAGTTCAATCCCCAGTACCAGCAGCAGCTAAAAAAAAAAAAGGAAAGAAAAGAAAAGAGTTTAGCTGGGTGCTGGTGCCTCTTGTTTCCTAGCTGCTCAGGAGGCTGAGGATTGTCTGTCAGAAGTCTGTGAGACTCTTATCTCCAATTTTTTAACCACCAAAAGCCAGAAGTGGGGCTGTGGCCTAAAATGGTAGATCATTACCCTTGAGCATAAACAAGCAAGCAAGCAAGCAAGCAAATATTCTCGTCCTTTTGTTAAGGGCAGGCCCAACCTCTTAGATTTCCTGTTCTAACATACAAAGTCCCTTGGAGGAAAAGCCACTCGAACAGTCAAACAGTCGCCATGCCTTTCCATTTGTGGTAGCAAGTAGGGCTTGCGAGGAGGGAGGTGGGTGAAGGAATGTTCTGGAAGTGGCCCGTATTAGTAATGTAGGCACAGTGGGGAAACTCCTGGGACAGGTCTGGGGGTGAGACAAGAATGGGAGCTGACCCTACCACTGTTCCAGAAGGGCTTGCTGGACAGGGCAGGTGGGGGGGTTCTTGTTGGGGGGACAGCCAAGAGGCCAGGTGAGCAGTGGAAACTGCTTTTTGCTTCTCCTCCTTCTGCTTGGAAGTTTCTCATATGAAGTCCTCAAAGAGGCCATGGCTTCTGGCCCTCTGACCCTATTCTGTCCTGTGTTTAGCAGGCCAGGGGCCAGCTGTGACAGAGGACAGCCCGGGCATTCCACGCTCTTGCAGCCGTTGCCACCATGGCCTCTTCAACACCCACTGGAGATGCCCTCGTTGCAGCCACCGATTGTGTGTGGCCTGTGGTCGCATGACTGGCGCAGGGAGGGCCAGAGAAAAAGGAGGTGAGAAAGAGGCCAAGGGAGGTGGGGCGGGGGAGGGGAGGGGCGGAGAGGACACAGGTCAGAGGACCACACCCCCCTGTCCCTAAAAGAAATTCAGGCCTGCGGTAAGCTTCCCATTTGGCTCACATCACCTCTTTTAAAAACAGTTTAACACTGTGAAGTGAATGTTATTTCCTCCATTTTCCAGATTAGAAAATATCAGAGGGATTAAATGACTCATCCCAGGTCACAAAGCAAATAAATATTGTGGCCAAGAAGACTCAGGTCTTCTCATTCCGTCCTGTTCTTTCCATGATGCTCAACTTTCTCTCTTTGGCTCAACTTGATCACTTCAGGTCTTGAGCATCCCAGGGCCAAAAAGAAATCCCAGAATTGGATACATCCTGGAATATTCTCTGCCATATGACCATCTTGGGATCCTGCAATGGCATCTCAGTATATGCTAGTCTCTGTACTCTGCAAATCAGGAATCCTGGGTCACTATGTCCTCAGAAGTCATGGGTTTTGAGGATTAAAATATGCATTTGGCTTCCTCGCTGACTGTATCCTTGCTTTCTGGACCTTTCCTACCCCACAGGCTCTCGAGAGCAGTCCGCACAGGAGTGTGCCCAGGAGGCTGGGCATGCTGCCTGTTCCCTGATGCTAACCCAGTTTGTCTCCAGCCAGGGTGAGCCCTCATGGAGGGGTGGGGCATGCACTGGGTGGGTCCCCAGGGGAAAAATCTTCCTGTCTGGTTGTCCCTGACCTTGGTGACATGCCTTCTTGGGTGGTAAGGTCAAGTTATGGTATGCACCTACCACTGAACTCCATTTCTCTTCTGCACTCCCAGTGCTGGCAGAATTGAGCACAACAATGCACCAAGTGTGGGTCAAGTTTGACATCCGAGGGCACTGTCTCTGCCAAGCCGATGCCTGGGTATGGGCCCCTGGGGATGCAGGCCAGCAGGTAAGAATCAGGGAATGGTCCAGTAAGGACCAGTGCTAGGCCCCAGGATGGAGTGGTATGCCTGCAAATGACTGGCTTTTGTTGGGGTTTGCCCTTCTCTTCAGATGGGGATGAGGGATACAGAGTCCCTCTACATGCCCTTTCCCTGGGGATCAGACTCCTGGCATCGAACTTTGTCTAGCCCAATACCACCACCACCACCTCCTTGCCTGCCTGGAATCCTGTCTAATTTGCACAGCCAGCTCAGCACTTGCCATGACATGTTGCTGTGGGCATGGCTGTGATCCTAGCCACAGGCTCCTTTGGGTGCAGCATCAGACCTCCTTCCCAGAATTCCCAGCGCCTCACAAGTAGCACATGCTCGATATTCATTGTACAAAGCTTTCATGAATTGCTGTTTCTGTGAGAGAAGTTATCCATTCGAAATGCACTTTATTATATGCATATTGTGTACCAGCGACTGCAGAAAAATCAGAAAATGTCTGAAAGTGGGAAGGAGAAAACAACATCAGCCTCTCCTACCTCACTGATACTTTGACATATTTCTTTCCAGTTATCTATGTATTTATTCACATCAATTTTAGACCCTACTTGGAGAAGTCCATGAACAATGTTATCCTATAACATTTTGCTCGTATAAAACAGTTTTAGGACTTACAAGGGTCCACACTTAATTCTTTTTTTATTTAGTTTTATTTTTTTTATTGTGAAAATACTGTACAGAGGGGTTACAATTACTTGGGCAAGATCATGAGTACATTTCTTATCAAGCATTATAGCCTCCTCCTTTGTTTCCCCTTCCCATCCCTTCCCATCCTCCCCCCAGCTTCCCGCCCCCCACACACACACTTAATTCTTATATACTAAGTAGGGCTGAGTTGTGTCTGTCTTTCTGAAAAATCTCTGGTTGGATGGGGTGGTTTTAACAGAAGGAGCCCACAGAGAAAACACCTCCAACTTCACAACCTTCCTGCAACGGGGACTCCAGCAGGACCAAGGACATCAAAGAGGGTGAGTGGCGCTCAGTGTTCTTCGGACTAAGTGAGGCAGTAGAAGTCTCCAGAAACTATATGCCATTGCCTTAGCAAACAATTCTCCCCCACCCCTGCTGATCATCTCCAACACTCCCCTCAAGACTGGCCTCCTAAACCCTTCCCCAGCCAGCTTCCCCTTCTGAGCCGCTCCTCTACAGAGGAAACTGCCTTTGGGAAAGCGGTGGTAAGAAGACTTAACGCAGCAAGGAGTTGGGGTGCTAGGGAGGAGAGCAGACTTGGCGGGAAGATGGGTGGCTGCCTTTGAAGGCAAAGGTGAAGGAGCCAAGGGGGAAGCCCCTCACCATTTTCCTCTCTGACAGAGACCCCAGACTCCACTGAGACCCCCACGGAGAACGGTGGCAGCCAAGCACCCCTGCCTTGTCCCTCTCTCTGTGAACTGTTGGCCTCTACCGCCGTTAAACTCTGCCTGGGGCATGAGCGAATCCACATGGCCTTTGCTCCTGTCACTCCAGCCTTGCCCAGTGTGAGCAAGGGCATGGGGGGGGGGGGGTGTGGAGACTCTGGGGACCAGAGGCTGGGCTGGCCTCCCTGTGAGGCCAGGCAGGTCCTGAGCTTTCTTGCCCCTTCCCCCCTCCATCCCCACAGGACGACCGAATCACCAACATCCTAGACAATATCATCGCGCAGGTTGTGGAACGGAAGATCCAGGAGAAAGCCCTGGGGCCAAGCCTCCGAACAGGGCCAGGCCTGCGGAAAGGCCTGAGCCTGCCTCTGTCACCGGTGCGGCCACGGCTGCCTCCTTCTGGGGCCTTGCTGTGGCTGCAGGAGCCCAGGCCTCGGTGGCGGGGTTTTCACCTCTTCCAGGAGCACTGGCGGCAGGGCCAGGTGAGCCAGTCTGTCTCTTCCCCTTCCAGTATTTCTGGCTTCACCTGCTCAGCAGGGCTTGTTCTCCAAGGTGTTCTGCAGCTGGGAAACGGCTCCAGCCTGGCAGCAGAGGGTTCCCCTCCAACCCTTCCTGTCCTCCCCCTTTCCCTGTGACAGCCCGTGTTGGTGTCAGGGATCCACCGGACACTGCGAGAAAGCCTGTGGCAGATGGACACTCTGGGGACACTTGGAGGCCAGGTGCAGGCGGTGGCAGCCCTTGGGCCTCCCAAGTCGACAAGCCTGAGCAGCACAGCATTCTGGGAAGGATTCTCCCAGCCTGAGAGTAAATATCCTTGTTGAGGAGGGAGCTGGGAGGCGTCCCAGCGCCTGAGTGCCAAAGGTCCTTCAGCACAGCCCTGGGGGCGGTGGGAAGCAGGGACTGGGGCAGAAATTGGACTCAGGTGCAGCTGACCTGTGGGCTCAGGAGCCTCCTGGCCCAGGACAGTGAAACCTATTTCTTTCCCTAGGTCGGCCAAAGTCAGAAGAGGGCTCTGTTCTGCTACTGCACCGAGCTCTGGGCGATGAGGATGCCAGCAGGTGTGTCCAGCATCAAGGGGCCAGTGCCACTTCTCAGCCACCAGCCTACCCCTTGTCCATCCTTCCTTCCTTCTTCCATCCTCTAGTGTGTGACCCTCCAGTGTTCTGGCCTTGCCTTCTAGGAGTCAGTCCTGCAGTGTGGGGAGAGGGGTGTCTGATACCTGTGCTGGACCTGTTAGGCATAACCTTGCCCCTGCCCACAGAGTAGAGAGCCTGGCTTCCAGCCTGCCACTCCCGGAGTACTGTGCGCCCCATGGAAAACTCAACCTGGCTTCCTACCTCCCTCCGGGCCTCGCTCTATGTCCGCTGGAGCCCCAGCTCTGCGCAGCCTACGGTGAGTGCCTTTCCACTCCTGCCTGCCCCTCCCCCAACACACGTTGTTCCTACCATCTTGGTGCACCTGGGCAGGTGCACCAGGGCCCCATGTGTTTCTCGTTATAGTCTGTTCTCAACCATCCTTTTTCCTCCACACAGGTGTGAGCCCACACCGTGGACACCTGGGGACCAAGAACCTGTGTGTGGAAGTGGCTGACCTGGTCAGCATCCTGGTGCACGCAGAACCGCCACTGCCTGCCTTGCACCGGGTTCAGAAAGGTGGGTCTTCAGCGGGAGACAGGGGAAAGACAGGGTAGCCTGGCAGGCGTCTACCACCACCACCACCACCCTGGGACTCACCTCTGAACTTTCTTTGTCCCACAGATTTCCTCTCAGGCCCGGATGGGGAGGGACTCTGGTCTCCAGGCAGCCAGGTCAGCACAGTGTGGCATGTGTTCCGGGCACAGGATGCCCAGCGCATCCGCCGCTTTCTCCAGATGGTGAGAAGGGAGCTTGGTGCCCACCCTTTGCCCTGCCCAACCCTGAAACTTGTCCTGTCTGCTAAGTGTCATCTCAGTGAGCCTCCCAGGTCCCCACTCCTCCCCTGAGGTGAGCCGGACAGCACCAACTCATGCACAGGTGCCAGAGAAGGCAGACTGGATGCCAGGTCTGACAGAGGGTTAGAGAAGGAGGGGTGACCAGCGCCTGTTTCTCACGCCTGTAATTCTAGCTACTTAGGAAGCTGAGATCTGAGGATCGTGGTTCAAAGCCAGCCTGGGCAGGAAAGTCTTTGAGACCCTTATCTCCAATTAACCACCAGAGAACCAGAAGTGGTGCTGTAATGCAAGTGGTAGAGCACTTGCCTTGAGCTGAAGAGCTGAGGGACAGCGCCCAGGCCCAAAGTTCAAGCCCCACAACCAACAAAAAAAGGGGGTGCCATCTTTAATGAGTACAATGGGTACATTAATTGAGGATCAGGGTGTGGGGCTTGGGTGCACTATCTCAGTTAACAGACAGTTAGTTGCTTTCCCATTTTGCAGACAAGAAACAGGCTCCATGTTAGTGCATAGTCTCTCCCAACCCCACGTAACTACCCCATGCTCTCCTGGGGACAGGCAGCTTTCCTTTCCTGGGCTTTGGAGGAGGAGGAAGTGCTCCACCCTTCTCCATAGTTCCCCCTATGAGGAGAGACTTCCTGGGAGGAGTTAACTAGGGAGAGGGGGCTCCGAGAGCCTGGTGCCTCATGCCTATCATCCTCCCTTCTCAGGAGGCTGAGATCTGAGAATCATGATTGGAAGCCAGTCCAGGGAGGAAAGTCGGTGAGACTCTTTGTCTCCAAATTAATCACCAAAAAGTTGGAAGTGGAGCTGTAACTGAAGTGGTAGAGCACACCATCCTTGAGCAAAAGCAATTAAGGGACACCACCCAGACCCTGAGTTCAAGCCCTAGTACTTGCGCACACACAAAAAAAGAAGATAGAGGAGGTGGAAGAAGAGGAGGAGGAAGAGGAAGGCTCAAAGAGACAGGTGATGAGAGAGAGAGAGTGGCCAGGATAGGGGTGGAAGGAGTAGAACAAGCTTAGAGTTGGGTGTGAGGCGGGAAGCTCCCAGTGTGCCAGCATCGTGTCCTCCACTGGCCCCTTCCCACAGTGTACATTTGTAGATGCTGAGACAGGCAGAAGGGAAGAGACAGACACACCGTCATCAACAGGTGGCCTGGTCTGGTCTAGGTGGGGCTGGCTGTGGGGCAGTCCTGGGTGACTCATGAGGATCTCTGAGGGGCCTTTTCTCACTGGGTGGCCTGGGAAACACTGCCCTAGGAAGGACTTAAGTCTCTGTAGCAAAGAACCTTGGCACCTGACCGGGACTCCCTTTGGGTTGTCTAGTTCACCAGTCTTCCCCTGCCCCTTGGCCCAGTCTTGTAGCTCTAAGCTCAGGGACAATGGCAGCGTTCTGCCTGGAAGGGGGTGGATGGAATCGGTGGCCAGTTGAAGCATGATGCTGGCATTTGCCTCTGCAGCTGTTCCCTGGGCACCTCCTATCTGGCCTCCACAAGTCCCTGCCTGCCTGAGGAGCTCTGGCTCTGCCTGGGGTGGTGACAGTCACTGTAACGTGCTGCAGAGGCCTGGACAAGGCCAGTCTGTCTGCCCACGAGGAATCAGAACTTCTGTGTGGCTTTGTTTTTCCTGGATGCAGGCTCTTAGAAGAATCTGAGGAGTGCTCTGGAGCATGTCCCCAACGCTCCTCTACAGTTGAGTCTCCAATGCAGGCTCTTCTCAAAACCCCCAGACAGTTTTCTAGCCGGGGTTGTGCACTCATTTTCCTGGGTATCAGTGAGAGACGGAGCGGGGGACTGGCAGGGACCACAGAGGTCATGAAAGGCATCCAACTCTAGCAAAAGCAAGGATTTGGACCACCTTAATCCTTTCCTCTAAGCTCTTTCCAGCTGAATGTTTTGTTCTGCTAGCCTGAGCTGCCCCAGCCCCTTTCTCTCCCAGCCCCTGCCCTGCCCTGCGAGACTGGACCACTTCAGCTGCTCCTCCTCTGCCCCTGTTCCTCCACAATGTCCACACTCCTATCCTCCTCCCCCAATCCCAACTCAACTACCCATGTCTTCTTTGAGGTGTGTCCCACTGGAGCAAGGACCTTGGAGCCTGGTGCCCCAGGTAGCTGCTACCTGGATGCAGGACTGCGCAGGCGCCTGCGTGAGGAGTGGGGCGTAAGCTGCTGGACCGTGCTGCAGGCCCCTGGAGAAGCTGTGCTGGTGCCCGCAGGGGCGCCTCACCAGGTGCTTTCCTGGTGGGCGGAGCTCTGGGGGTCAGGGGAGCAACAGGGGCTTTCTCCCTCTCCATGCCTGAGAGTAGGGAGGAAGTGGAAGGGTCCCCACGTCCTCAAGCCCAAATGAGATGTGCCCAGAGATTCAATCCAGTCCTGATGTACTTACTGTGTTCATGGAGGCGTATGTCCCTTCTGGTGCCCACTGTCTGGTTTTGGCCATGCCGAGGGAAAAGAACCTCAGGGACAGTGGGATAAGGAGAGGACTTACTGTTTTGATCCTTTGCTGACCTCCTGACCCCTTCTTCCCCGGTCTAGGTGCAGGGCCTAGTGAGTACAATCAGCGTCACCAAACACTTCCTGTCCCCCGAGACCTCGGCCCTTTCTGCTCAGCTCTGCCACCAGGGACCCAGCCTGCCCCCTGACCACCGCCAGCTCTATGCCCAGGTGAGAGACGCTGACCCGCAAGCCGAATGCCCACCCCAAGGGCGCCCACAGCTGCTGTGGCAGGACAGACCCAGATGTGAGCCAAGCGGCTGCCAGTACGGCAGTGCAGAAGAAAGATGTCCCTGTAGGCCGGGGATAGGAGCAGTGTATGACTGAGAATCCTGTGTTTTCTCCTTTTCCTAGATGGACTGGGCTGTGTTCCAAGCAGTGAAGATGGCTGTGGGAACCCTACAGGAGGCTAAGAAGGGGATCCCCAGGGTGTGAGAGAGGAGCAGTGGGCAGGTAGACCAGGCGCACGGCCCAGGCATAGCTCAGTAGGGAATGGCCCAGGGAGACCCAGCCACTTAGGTCAATCCCCTAAATACCACTCTAGGCACAAACAGGGGTGTCCTCATTCCTTGGCCCTAAAACCTACAACTACAGTGCCACCAAAGCTCATACCTGCCCTTTGCAGGCTGGCACCTGCTCTCTGTGGTACCATACTCATATTAGGGATAAATAGATCTCCTTCAACTCCTGTGCTCCAAGCCAGGAGACACATAGCTCTTCCTTAGGTGACTTTGGGAATTGTTCTGGCTTAAGCAATACTTCCTTTTGCTGCCTCACCCGCCCCCACTGGCCTACCTGTGCCCTGAGCTTTTTATACCACCCACATCCTTGTTGGGTTCTGGGTAGCTGTTTGCACTGAAGGCCTGCTATACCAGAGGCCACCCAAATCCTGCCCTCACAGAGGGATGAGAAGTGTGGAGAAGAGATGCCATCAGGGATGGCTGGAGGAAATGACCTGGGAGATGCAGCTCACCCCAGCTCCTGCCCCTGCCTGCCTCCTTTGAGATCTCCATTCAAGTCTGTTGTTTGTGACTTCTGTCCGTGTGCTTAGCCCTGCTCCTGCCAGCCATGTAGCCTCAGGAGGAAGGGCAGACACAGAAATCCAGAGCAAAGGCAACTGGAGAGGGCAGTTAGGGTCTGGGGGCCGGGCGGCAGGGGTCTCTCATACCACTGCTTGGTCTTCCGGAGGCCTGCACTCCTGGAACCTTCAAGAGGCTGCTGCCTGAAGATGCTCTAGAATGTAACAGCAGGCGAGGAGGAGTCCTGGGGCCCAGCCCAGAGTGCCCCTCTCTGTGGGGCATCATCAGCCTGTGGAGATTTCAGAACCCCACTGCTCCCAGCAAATTCTAGGCCGCCCTGTCTCTCTTATCTGCTCTGACCTTGAGCAAGATCTAAGGAAACCCTTGCCCAGCTGACTGCCCTGGGTGGCCTGGCCCCCTAGGACTGAGTTTCACTGCCTAACAACTTTCCCCATCCCTTCTGGTGTGGCCCTTCTGGGTATCTACCCTTCCTAGGTATCTCAGCCCCACAGGTGCACCAGCTTTTGTCATACCGACTTCCTGCTGTGGTTCGGGGAATGTTTTGTTTTTTAATTAAATAAAATTTTTTTTATTATAAACATAACATCTGTTTAGGATAATTAGAAAATAAGAAAGTTACCTGCAAGGTCATCTCTACTCATCCCTTCCCCCAACTCAACCTCTCAGGATTTGACTGTTTATTATTTTTGTGGTTGTTGCTGTTGTTGGTTGTGGATCTTGAACTCATGGCCTGGGTGCTGTCCCTAAGCTCTTTTTGCTCAAGGCTAGTGCTCTACCACTTAAGCCACAGTGCCACTTTCATTCTTCTGGTGGTTAATTGGAGATTTCCTGCCTGGGCTTCAAACTGCAATCCTTAGATCTCAGCCTCCTGAGTAGCTAGGATTATAGGCATGAGCCACTGGCACCCAGCTCTTAGTACTTTTGTGAGTTACCTTCTAATGTTTTCTCCAGGGATCTGTTGTGCACATGGTTAGTATATCTTGTATGTGGTTTCTTCCTTAATTTTGTCCCATCATCATTTTCTATCTTGTTAGCTATCCCTAACATTTAAAATAGCTGCTTAGCCTGGCACCATGGGCCATGCCTGTAATCCTAGCTAGGATTACTCAGGAAGCTGAGATCTGCCAGTCCAGGCAAGAAAGCCTATGAGACTCTTAAGTCTATAGTTAACCAACAAAACCAGAAGTGGAACTGTGGCTCAAGTGGTAAGTACCAATCTTGAGTAAACAACAACAACAAACAACTAAAGGATGGTTCGCAGGTCCTGAGTTCAAGCTTCAGTCCTGGAACACACACACACACACACAGATAAAATTGCTACTTGTATACCATTAAATGGCTATTCCGTGATTTAAATAACCATCACTTGTTTAAAAAACTTTATCAGACTTCATTAACAGTTTATTTTCACTTTTTCTCAGAGCTGAAAAAATAAGAGAACATATGTTTTATCATGCTATTCTTTTTATTTACTTGATTTAATCCCTTACATGGAAATGTGCTCAATCCCTTATGACTATTTTGATATAAGTTATGATAAGTTTTGATATAAGTTATGGCTATTTTGAGGTAGATAGAAGTTATTTCCATCTTACAGAAGTTACAGGCAATCTGGGGTTAAATAAGTCACTCAAGGCCACACAATAATTTCAGGGGCAGAACTGGGATTTGAACCAAGTTTTCTGACTTAAGCCACCTTGTTAATATTAAGGTCTTAGCGCTGCATGGAATTTAAATGGGCTTGCCTTCTTCTCTGTCCTAATTCATGCACTTTATAGCTGGTCATATTCCAAGTAGCACTCAGTAAAGGATACATTTCTACCTACACTTCACCTTCTACAGCCGTGTCCCAATGTCACCCCAGAACCCCAAATTCAAGATCCTTCCTGGTCAAGCTGTGGCTCTGAATTTTGTCCACTAGGGTGACCTCTTACCTCCCCCCCCCCCCAAAGACCTCATCTCTTCTGCCCCATTCCCCCCTCCCATGACAGGCCACAGCTCTCTTGAGGGTGTATTTGGTCTGGCCCTTTATAAACAATAGGTAGATCAATGTCCATTTGTTCCAGGACTAGGCCAAGAATGGAGCCAGTCCTGGTGGGATTAACCCTGAAACTCAGGCTGGCACTCAGCAGCCCTGTTACTCACGGAGGCCCTTGGGCCTCTACTTCTGCCAGGGTCAGCCACTCACTGCTCCCTTCTGCCCCTCTCTCTGGCACAGATACCACACAGTGTCATGAGCTAAAAAGCTGGCAGTGAGCTCAGCTCTGCACATCCAAGGCCTTGCTTTTCTATTTTTCTTAAACAAATCTCACTCTTCTTAATTTTGGAGAAATGTTAGATTTACATTTGAGTCATAAATACAGCATAAAAGATGCCCAGTTACCCTTCACTCAGCTTCTCCTAGAGGGATTACAGAAACATGGCGCCTTTATCAAAACTAAGACTAACATTGACATCCCATAATGAAACAAAAGAGTCTTCATCGGAAATCTTTCTGTTAATGTTCCATTTCCTTTTTTTTTTTTTTTTTTAATTGTTCATGGAGCTTGAACTCAAGGCCTGGGCGCTGTCCCTCAGCTTTTCAGCACAAGTCTAGTGCTCTACTACTTGAGCCACAGTGCCACTTCCGGTTTTCTGGTGGTTTATCGGAGATAAAAGTCTCACAGACTTTCCTGCCCAGGCTGACTTTGAACCCTGATCCTCAGATCTCAGCCTCCTGAGTAGCTAGGATTACAGACGTGAGCTACTGGCACCCGGCTCCCTGAGCTCTTTCAAGGTTAGCATGCTACCACTTTGAACCAACAACCCCACTTCTGGTTTTCTGGTGGTTAATTAGAGGTAAGAGTCTCATGGACTTTCCTATCCAGGCTGGTTTTAAACCATGATCCTCAGAGCTCAGCCTCCTGAGTAGCTAGGGTTACAGGTGTGAGCTGCCAGTATGAAGCTTTAATGTTTCATTTTCTACTCCAGTGCTTTCATTTGACATGGCCTAGATGATAGATGATCAAGGTCACAGAGGATGCTATCCTCCTCCTGTAGTTCAGGCCCTTGCCCTACTTTGTCAAGGGACAGGGTTTGCTGCTCTGTACATTGCCCGAGCATCACACACAACCTTCCCCACCCTGCTTGTCCATCCCTATTCTCATGTCTCCAAAGCTGCCTGCCCCAGGCTTCCCCATTCATGTGCTCACATGTACATGTGTCTGTGCATGCTCCCAGACGGCTCAGGTTCTGCTCGGTGGGTGCTGGGAGAGCTGTGCACAGCATGATACAGACACTCAGTCCAGAAGTATTTTTCATCCTAGGACACACTTGAATGTTTCTAGTTCATTCTCCTCTCCCTCAATGTCCCTCTTCCGTCTTGGCTGACTGCTGTTCCCTCACCCTAAAGGCTTCTAAGAAACTCATTCTAAGCCAGGTGCGCGTGACTCGTGTCTGCAATCCTAGCCACTCAGGAGGCTGAGATCTCAGGATCATAGTTCTGAGCCAGCTCAAGCAGGAACGTTCGTGAGACTCGTCTCAATTTAACCACCAAAAGCCTGGAAATGAAGATGGACTCAAGTTGGTAAAGTGCCGCCCTTGAGCAAAAAAGCTAAGAGACAGCACCCAGACCCTGAGACCGGTCCCCAGGCGCCAGCCAGCGCACACCGAACCACCTGCTTGCTGTGTCCCTCGGCACTCTGGGAAGGGCCAGGGAGAGTCCTTGAGGACCTTCTGCATGTGCTTTATGGGAGGCTTTTTTGTGTGCTGTTGCCTCAAGTGTGGCTCCACGATGGGAATGATTAGGCCCACTTGACCGAAGGCGGCTCTTCCCCAGCGACAGTGGGGAAAGGAGCTGCGGTTTGTGGCAGCCTTGCTCTTCCAGGCAGTTAGGTTGTCTGGTGTTTATCTTAGGACGCCTCTAAAGCTCTCAGAGCCCAGCCGAGACATGACCTCACCGTCTCAAATCATCCCTAGGAGGCAGAAAGGAGTCTAGGACCAACGCTGCCCCCACTTCACAGATGGGAAAACTGAGGGATAAAAACACACTCACATACAGCAAAGACTCTGACAAGCTGCCAATCAGCCCGACTTCAGTGGTTTGGAGGAAAGTGTTTCCATGGGGGGGTTGGGGTCAGCGGCATTGTGGATCACTGGTATGCCCCAAAGCCTCTCCCAGGTCTTGTCTCCAGGGTCCTTGCTCAACACCAGCATGTGAAATGAGCCCAGGGGGCCAGTCCAATGGGCCTAGGATTACTGAAAGCAAAGTCCAGTTCCACTACAGCATCTTTCATAAGGGGAGGTCTCCATGTGGTAGCAACAAGTTACTGTGGCCAAGAGGCTCAGGCTGGAGGGTTGGCAACTGTACCCAGTGTTGGACAATTCAGTCAGCTCCTCCCCTCATGTCTTGGCTGTCCAACAGCTCTGTAAAAGGAGGGCTGTTGTGACCCTCCATGACAGATGAAGAACTGGGGTCACAACTTACCCAGGGGCACAGAACAAGCCAGTCAGCAGTTGGCTAGATGTCTAGCTTGAGGTCTAAAGCCTTGTCAGTACCACCAAGCCACTGTCCCCGTGACGGCAGGCACAGAGCCAGCAGGAGGGAGAGGAAAGGGATAGCTTGGGTAGGGCGAGGAGTCCAGACTTGGCCTGCTTCAAAGATTCCTCCCAGCTGGCTCTGCCTAGCTTTCCTCAGAGGAGGCTAGAGGAAGCTCTGAGGAGGAAAGGTCAGGCTCAGAGAGAAGCAGGAGCTGGCCAGACAAACCCACACCCTGTTTCCCATACTCCAGGCCCTACGTGCTGGGCAGGAGGGCACTGCTTCTGCCCTCCAAGGCTCTAGTCTGCAGCAGAGAGGCCTTGAGACGTTATGGGAAATGTAGTGAGCAGGGGGACTCTGATGGCAGCTAGGCCACTGAT